GCTCTTTCCGCCGTCGCAGATCGCCATGTAACCAGATCGCGTTTAAAGCCTTCTCATTTCTCTCCACTCTTCTTCACTCCTCCGACCCAAAACGTCACATCGTCACCTACTCGCTACTTCGAGGTCAAAAAACCTCCAGTTCCCGATCTTCCGACAACTCAACCACCGTGCTCGCATCGGATCCTCCACCATGATTTCGGCTACACCTATGGTAAGCCGCCGGTTCTCGCCAACTACACACTCCCTTCTCACTGCCCATCTCGAGAATTTTCCAAAATCGTCCTCGAATTCAAATCCACTAGCCGAGGAAGACAGTTCGATCGGATCTTCGGAGTTTGGCTTGACGGCGTTGAGATTCTCCGGAGCTGCACCGCCGAGCCTAGACCAAACGGGATTGTTTGGTCGGTGGAGAAAGACGTGACTAGGTACCACTCTTTGCTCGTGAAGAACGAGACTCAGATTCTCGCTGTTTATCTCGGTAATCTGATTGATAAAACCTATACTGGAGTTTACCATGTCGATGTGTTCTTCCATTATTATCCATTCGAAAGAAATCTGCAAGATTCTTCTTCTGGTTACAGCTCTCCTCAAGCAGATATGATCCTCCCAATCTCGAGGAATCTTCCGTTAAACGATGGATTATGGTTTGAAATCGTGAATTGGAATGATTCTCAGTACAAGGAATTTGAAATCCCTAGGAATGTGTATAGAGCTGTTCTTGAGGTTTATGTTTCTTTCCATGAGAGTGATGAGTTTTGGTATGGGAATCTTCCAAATGACTTTGTTACTGCCAACAATCTTAGTGGTACTGGTAATGGACCTTTCAGAGAAGTAGTGGTTAGTCTCGATGGGAAAATCGCCGGTGCGGTTTGGCCTTTCCCCGTTGTTTTCACCGGAGGAATCAATCCTTTACTCTGGAGACCGATCACAGCTATTGGATCTTTTGATCTGCCAAGTTATGACATCGAGATCACGCCGTTCTTGGGAAGTTTGTTAGATGGAAAGACTCATACGCTGGGGTTTAGTGTGACAAATGCTTTGAATGTTTGGTACATCGATGCGAATTTGCATCTTTGGTTGGATCAAGAGAGGGAGGTAGTCGAAGGGAAGGTGTTGGAGATTAGTAGAAGCTCTCTCAAGATTACCTCTGAGTCGGATTTCAAAGGCTTGAATGGAAACTTCACGACGAAAGCAAAGAGGTCGATAACTGCGATCGGGTTGGTCAAATCCTCTCATGGAGACATCATAACCAATGCCAATCAAGAATTCAGCTACGGAAACAAAATGGTTTTAGGTAAAAATGCAAACTTGCAGATCATAGATCAGTTAATCCAAGCCGATGATCGTGTTCACGCCAAGAGTGCCTCGAGAGAGATATACTCTGCGAAATCAATCAAGAGCTTTCCTTTTTACCTCTACTCTGATTCTTTGGAGCAACGGAATAACACATCTCTGGAGATTTCGAATGTCACGATGGGATTCAACGAGGAGAGATCACAGAGCGACAATGGATTGATGAGAAGATTTAAGAGCAAGCTTGAGAACAAGCAAGAAGGACAAGGTGTTATGGTGGTGAAGAATAACTTAGTGACCAGTGGATATGGAAGCACACAACAAGTTTATAACTATGTTGGAAGTGACCAATGTTACTTCAGGAACATCAGTAGCTCCAACTACACCATTCTATATGACAAGCTTGAAACTGTTTGCAAGAAGAAAACGCTGAAGATGCCTCCACGGCTCGAGCATTTAACCAGACAACCCTTACTGGCTTGATACATGACCAGAGACAAAGACCTCGCTCTAGCTGTGAATGACAGTGAAGAAAGAGAAACATCTCAAATAAAATAAAAAACAGTTGATGTTTCTTCTGTTTTGTCCAATTTTCAGACGATGTCTTGGTCAGATTTGGTGTATAAACTGTCTTCCTGGTCAACAAGGCTCATCATGTTCTGCCATTCTGTGCAAATTAACCGGTTTACTATCAGTGGTTTTGTGAATATAAAACTGGTTAAATCTGAGTTTACCTCACAGTGAACCGGTATCTGAACTGTGTTATGCAAAAAACTCTGGTTATGACAATAAACCGATCAATTTGAAGTGAAATCAGAGGGTGTCTGAACGGTTTTTTCAGTTGGTTCCGATACCCATTTCGGTATTATGACATAAGCGCAAGTTGTTCAAAATTCGATTGGTTAACGATATATACCGAACCTGCGAATCATACCGGAGGTGGCTAAAAACTGTATTCAAATTAATCATTTGGTTTGGACTAAAACCGTGAGCAAGAAAGAAATCCCGACCGTGGGTCCCACGGTTATCCAGATATATCATACGTGGCTACATTACAGCCGTCTAAGGGATTGACTTAAAAAAAGGTCAAACCTTGAATCTCATCGCTCTCGTCTTCCTCTCGGCGATAAGGAAACACAAGACCAGACCTGCTCAAGGAGCGGGGAAAATCTTCGAACTGTTAAGAGTTCCTTCAGTGATTGAGAATGAGCTTATCATCTCCAACCAGGTCCGATAAAGTTTCCAATTTGTTTTCAATTCGATTTCTGTTTGTGCTCGATTTAATGCTAAATTCGGAGACTTTTTTTTGTGTGGAATTTCTGGCCGTTGTATACAGTGCCTGTAGTTCGTCGAGATGTTACTCTTCGGGTTTATCTTTGCCGATTGGGTTTCGATCCAATCCCATCAATGTCGGATTGGTTTGTTACCCAACAAGACACAATGATGCTGCTCGGAAATTTGTCGTAGCTTGCTCCTCCTCCTCTTCCGGTACGAGTCTCTTGCAATCCAAATTTCATGCTTTTTGATATGATTTTGGTTGATTCTGCTCTCTTAGCTGCTCATTTGATATTGTTTTAGCATGAATGTGGCCCTTGAAATGGTGTTTCTTTCACTTTTTGGGTATTTGTAACAGAAGATGAAATTTCTAGTTTTGAGTCACTTAACTTGAAATTTAGCTAAGCATTGATCATAAAGGATCAATGAATCTGTACCCTTGTCATTTTGTAAGTTAATAGAATCGTTTCTCGCATTTACACATTTTTTGTTCAAAATGTTACATCAGATCCACTATTGGTTAAGGCTGCGAAAGGGCAAGCCGTGAGTCGCCCTCCAGCTTGGATGATGAGGCAAGCAGGAAGGTATATGGCTGTTTACCAAAAGCTCGCCAAGAAACACCCGTCCTTCAGGGAGAGATCAGAGAACACTGATCTAATAGTGGAAATCTCTTTGCAGCCTTGGCAAGCTTTCAGACCAGACGGCGTCATCATTTTCTCTGATATTCTCACGCCTTTACCTGCATTCGGTGTCCCTTTTGACATCGAAGAGGTAAAAGGCCCCGTTATCCAATCTCCCGTCCGATCTGAAGAAGATTTGAAGAAGTTGCATCCTATTGATCTCGATAAACTTCAGTTCGTTGGAGATTCTCTCAAGATTCTGAGACAAGAGGTGGTTTTTCCTATTCTCTCAGCTTTTGCCCCTAGAGTTTAACCAAATGCCCTTGAAAATGGATTCTTGTTTTGTAAGGTCGGGGAACATGCTGCGGTATTGGGTTTCGTTGGAGCGCCTTGGACAATTGCGACTTATATTGTTGAAGGAGGAACGACTCGGACGTATACAGTCATAAAGAGTATGTGCCACACTGCACCAAATGTATTGAGAGCTCTCTTATCTCATTTAACCAAGGCCATCACCGAGTATGTTGTTTACCAAGTTGAGCATGGAGCTCACTGCATACAAATATTCGATTCATGGGGCGGACAATTGACTCCCGATATGTGGGAGTGTTGGTCCAAACCCTACATCGAAGAGGTATAGTTAAGTGCTTTCGTATTAAGGACTTGAAAGAGTCTCTTATGGCGCTAAAGTTTTTTGTCATTTGCGCTGGACAGATCATTCATGCTGTAAAGAGAAGATGTCCAGATACGCCGATAGTTTTCTACATCAATGGAAACGGTGGCCTTCTTGAACGAATGAAAGGAACTGGAGCTGATGTTATTGGACTTGACTGGACTGTGGATATGGCTGATGGAAGGAGGCGATTAGGAAGCGACGTTAGTGTGCAGGGAAATGTTGATCCAGCTTACCTATTCTCTCCGCTTCCTGCTTTAACCGAAGAAATTCAAAGGTAGGTAGTTACTCTGCTCAGCTGAAGATAGTAACGCTTATATTCAGTTCAAGTAACCAAAAAAACATCTGTATTGTGTCAGAGTTGTGAAGAGTGCTGGACCAAAAGGGCATATACTCAACCTAGGACACGGTGTCTTGGTAGGGACGCCAGAGGAAGCCGTGGCTCATTTCTTTGAAACCGCTAGAAGCTTGGATTACCAAACAGTCTTCCAAAATCATGTCCCCGCAGAAAAAGCTGAACCTGAATTGGTTGCCTGAGAGATGTTGAACAGACAGGTGAGACAAGTCCCTATCCCCAAAGAAATCTGCTGTTTTAGTTTTGTGAATAAAACATATGTTTAAATCTCTTAATTTTGGTGCAGGACCCATAATCAAATCATAGAGTTGGTAATTACAAGAAAAATTCGAAGGCTTTTCTGGTCTTAACTCTTAACAGTGTCTGAGTTGCTCAATGTTGATGCTTCTTTTGAAGTTATGAACTCGGTTAAAGTCTAACCAAACATCAATCTGGTTAATTTTAAACCTCTCCATGTTTGTTATCCCTTTTTCTTTATATGGTTGTAACTTCTCTTGTCCCACTTGGATGTGAAATCGAGTAGCTTGTTTTGTATCATTGGCTGAAAAATATAACGCAGAAGATAAGTCTTTGATCTCGGACTGTATCAAAA